CTCGAGCTCGTTTTTTTACCTCGTGACTCGAGTTCGAGCTCGACTCGAAGCTCGGCTCTGGCAGTCGAGCTCAACTCGAACAACCCCCGGGCTCGATCCCCCTGGCCTGCTCGGAACCGACTCGTTTTGCACCCCTAGTTGCCAATAAGGACACAATATTACTGTGGCTGTGTCTCTAAGCCAGGAACTTAGCCTGTCATCATGGCGATGTGCTGTATTTCAAATTGTTTAGTTTGCTAAAATTCAACATACAAGAAAAGATAAACATAGGGGAGTATTCCAAATCCACAATAAAAAGATGCTTTAACTTTAATGCTTTTATCCAACTAAAACAACTATGGCATTTAAAACTAATATAATTGAGTTTTTATCTTTCTAATACATCTAAGCAAACAAACCTTTACATGGATTTAAGTGACCCTATAATGATATAAATAATTATAGTAATAATGAGTTTATAAAATAGAAAAAATTATATAGAAATTAAACTACTTTATATCAAAAATAAAATAAATAATTTTCATTTGTCCTATTTATTTGCGTTCAAATATATATTAAAAATTTAGTTAAGAATCAAAATATTCTCCCTCTTACAATGACCACTATTTTGTTTGTGTTCGCTCATTCAAAATTTATATCATTCGAATGAGATGCATAATCGGCTTGTATTCAAAATTGTTTATGAATAGCATGTTTGTATTTGAGTTGTATTTAGCTTGAATTGTTATAAAAAACAATTTTTTTTTAATTTTTTTTTATTAAAATAGAACTATAGGTTAATGAGTTGTATTCTTTTATTCATCAATCTTATAGTCCTAATTTTTATATGAAATCATATACAAGTAATTAATTATAAAATTTGAGAGATTATTAAAACTTTAATTTGTGCTTTAACTGAGAGAAATTACGTTTCTGCCACTAATTGCCAAAACCAAGCTTAAAAAAAAGGATTTATGTACCAAAAACAATATGTCAAACCACAGAGTACATCTAAGCTATATCCGCTAAATACTTTTCAGCATATAGATAAAAGCTTATAAAATATCTTCCTATAACTAGAAGAAAAGAACACGCAAGAGGTTAACTCGCCTAGAGGGCTTCTCAAATATGGCATAGAATAACAAGAGTCCAGTTGTCAATTCCCTAAGGGACGGAGAATGTGACATAGATGACTAAATTAGACAACAAATGGGGGCAAGGGTAAATTGAAAAAGATAAATGTAGTGGGGACATCAAGGAGAATGCTAGGATTAGAGATCGGAACGAGAATCTATGGAATCAAAATTGAAAAAAGGAACGACCTTTTAGGAACAAAAACTAAGGCAACCTTAAAATTTTAATTATTTCAAGCCTGTAAAAATGAGTCAAATTGATCAAATAAATGGTCATTACAATTCGGAGCTTTATTTTTGAAACGGTTTAAATTCAGTGAAATGATAGTCAAATACGAGCCTTTTCGTAAATTGAAACACGGAGTTTTTTTTTTAATGGCGCTTACACGATCCGAAGATTTACAGATTTAGCCACCACTCAACACGTTTTGATCTATTTATTAGGATCTTTTGTTGCTTATTAATAGGTCTTTAGGTTTAAAATTTGCATGCATAATGTTATGCTTAAATTTTCCTTAATTTTGTTAAAAGTCCAAAAATTAAATTTACAGCCCAATAAATAAAAATTTTTACAGCCCAAAAATATATATAGATTAACATCATATATTATAGTTGGTAAGGAATTCGAATTGGAGCAATGTGTGGTTTTGCTAGATTACTCACGATTGTTTTGTTGGGTCGGGCAGTAAAATGGGCACGGAATTGAAAAACCGTGAATAAGAAGGGCGCTTATTTTGCGCCTTTTTTTAAAATCCTTCCTCGCAATAAACTTCAAAGGCTGATTATAGAACCGAGCCAACGGAGAAAAGAAAAAGTAAAAAAAAAATTGATAAAGGTGAAAGGAGCGGTGGAAGAAGGCAATAAAGCCGTCCTTTGTGGGGGCGACAAAGACAAGAAGGGAAGCGAAATAGAGATATAGAAGAGACCGATAGAGAATCAAGACT